ACTAAAACTCTATGCTAATTTACTTTTTGAACCTTCTAATACTCTCTACTCAGAGCTGTCATTATTATCCAACTACAATGATACTTCAAATCATGCTTTTTCGTCTGTACTAACTAAAAGCACGTATTGTTTTTCTCACTGTTGCTGTTTTTCTGTGTAATCTAGTATGAGAGGACGTCCATGGCTGGGGGCGGTGACACCATGAGTGACCACAGTGGTTGACACCAACCTTAGTGATGCTACTGTGTATTTGTATTTGTGATAGGTATTACTAAATTGCTTCAAAGGCATTAAACCCTTTTTACTATATCTTCAGCAATTTTGAGTGTGTTGTGAAACTTTTGGATTTTAGTTTGTTGAATTTAAAGCAGTACTTCACTGTAGTTTTACCTTGTAAATATCATAGTATGAATATTACTAGGCATCATTTCATAGGTATAAAGCCATTAAAAATTCCTATCCAACTTTTGAGTATATTTCAATGTATTTCTAGATTTTCTATTCTGTTCCATCCATCTATCTACTCACGCACCATTACTATAATAGTTTAATTATTAGGTCTTTTTCTCAAAAAGTCATTTTAATATATTTTCTTCTCCAGTGGGGGTAAACTCTTTCCCCTCTGTTCATCATTGCATCCTTTTTCAGTATTTTCCTAGCTATTCTTGTTTGCTTACTTTTTTGTATAAACTTCAGAATCAGCTTCACTGGTTCTAAAAGAAAACTGATGTTGTTTTCTTTGAGACTGAGTTAAATTTATAAGTCAATTTCAAGAGAATTGACCCCTCTACGGTGTTGTCTTTGTATCTAAGGCTATGATGTACCTTTACATTTATTCAAGTCTATTTTCATGTTCTTAAAGTAGGTTGGGCAATCTTACTTCCGTAGTGATACTGCCTCGGAAACCCAAGGAGGGGTCGCTATGAGTCAGGGCTGACTCGATGGCACATAACAACAACAACAACAAAAGTTTTCATCAACTATTCTCATTTATCTTTTGGTATTTTATCCTTTTTGCTAATATTGTAATCAAGGTCATGTGTTCGATTTATTTTCTGTATGCTTAAAAGGTATTGGTGTTTGTTTGCTAATTTTGTATCCCCTTACCTTATTAATTAAATTCTCTTATTTGCAGTAGATAATTCAGATGATTCCTTTGGGTACCCATAATAAATAGTACAGTATAGTTATTTAATCATCTGAAAATAGTGATAGCTTTACCTCCTTATTTTGAATTTTTATACTTCTATTTCATTTTTTTGTCTTTCCATTGAATAGTGCGTCAGAATGATAAGTAGTAAGAGCATGCATCTTTGTGTAGTTCCTAACTTAAGTGGGAAGCCTTCAAGTGCTACAATGCTGGCTTTGGGTCTCAAATAAATTTGTTTTATAAGACAATATCCATTTTTTTCTATTTCTGAGTGTCAAATATATTTCAGTGTGCAAAGGGATAACCATAGAATTTTCTTCATAATTTTAATATGATAAAAATCTGTATTTTCTACTGTTGAATTATGCATGAATTATTGTGTTATAGCCTCCTCAATAATGTACTGCTTCAATTATGTTATTTTTTTGTTCTTTTTAGGATTTTTGAGTTTGTAAGTGAGATTTGTCTGTTTTTTGTTCTTCAACATTTTCAAGGTTTTGGTATAATAATATTTACTTTATAAAAGAAGTTGAAATTTTCATTTTTTTCTAAGTTTTTAAACAGTTTGCAATGGCAACAGTCTGACCTCCCTGCCTCCAACTGAGCCTCCAACTTAGTGCACATCTTCTGTGTTTCTTTATCATCCCAAGCTTATAGTCAGGTTTAACAATGTCTTTTTGCCCACAGAATTTGCCAAGTGTGGTTTCATCAGATAATAGGTAAGAGAGTAGAAATACCATCCATCCACACATGCATGTAATTAGATGACAAAGCATTTGGCCACCTTAAGCAAGTCATAGTTACACCCATCATTTACCTGGGCTTCTGTGAATTTCTTTACTTTGACACTCAAAGTACTAGGCAGAAATCATGTCACCACCTGCCACAGGCCTTTGAACCAATTAACTTTTTTCTTTTATTATTTCTTTACTCCAAATTCATTCTAAGCTTATTGCAAAAGGTTGTCTATGAATATAGAAATACTTTATTCTAATTTAATAGAAAAATTTCTTACGTATAGGAATGGAGTGAAATATAAAACAATCCATATCTGCATGCTATTTCCTGTACAAATATATTACATTCTTTGATAGGTTATTTTTATGATTATTTTTCCATGATTTCCATTCTTTCTCCTATTGGTAATTCCATTTTATAGCCATAAAAATTTAAGATTAAAATAACATACTAACACATTTGATTGATTCAAGACTTTCTTCTGGAGCTTGGCCAACAGACCATGAAAAGTCAGCTTATATTTTCATAATATGAAGCCTAAGGCTACTAGATAAATAATACTATTATGAAAATTAAAATTTAATGTACTCATAGCTAATTAATAATTAATATCATACACAGGGCATTAGTAAATTAAAGAAATTCATGATAATTTTACCACTAATTTCTTACTTCCCCTGTCATTAGGTGGGTAAGGTAGTATCCCCTGAAGCTGAAGTAAGGACTAGGTGTTAAGTACCATGGTTGAACTGGGGAGTTTTTAATATTACATTACAAGCAACA